CAACGCACGGGGCGCGGGGCGCCCCTGGCCAGTCATTACGGACCAGTCAGAAGAGGAACGAAAGGCTCATGGTGATCCCGGTGAGCGGAGCGACAGGATCACGGTGATCATGGTGAGCCTCAGGTGGAGGATGTGATCCGGATCACCGCTAGGGAACGCGATCCAGGTGATCCACAGGTACGGAGGAACTAGATAGCTTGTAGATAGTTCCGCAGTATGCAATTCACAGTTGTATTCACGGCATCTTGTGTTTACATCGAGACATCTTGTTGTGCACTGTTTAGCTGCACCGAACCAATTGTCAGAAGTTACCTTCAACCAGTATCCCTTTCAGAGGTTCTGTACAGGGGTTCGTCACACCGGTCCTAATCGTATTGGTCCATTCTATCCATCTAGACCGTAAGCCCCGCTTAATGGTCCGGTCCAGTCCTAATTAATTCCTTACGTGGCCACTATTTTTTAAAACCGTAATATAATACTCCCTCTCTAGGCCGAAATCTCTATAGTTTAGTCTCTTTTACTATTAACGATAACGTATTTAATAAACGAGCGGATCGGACAAGCAAGTAGATCGATTTCTACTACCCTGTTACAACTATCCTCAATTGCAAAACAATAATACTACTAACCTACTACAATTATATTAGAAACAGCTAAATCAGACTCTTCTGCAACCTCCTAGTACGTATGGATATTATAGCCAGGCTTACCGCACACACCACAGCACCGAATTTTCGTACGAGGCCCCCCTACATTACCGCTATCCGGCTATATTTGTTTTACTACCTCCCTACTTACGACCTTTTAGTTTAGTAGATCCTATGTATCTTGCATAGTAAGTAATTCTCTAAGCTACACACGTATTCCTTTAGCTTTTCGGCGCTTACTTAAGGCCTTGTTAGCTTTACGGAGTGAAGCGTTCTCTGCACGAAAGAGAGCTACCTAGTATATTATAATTATTATACTTTTAATAAGCTAGTTTACTATAGTTAATATTAAAGTCGGGGAATTATTTTAATAATTAATAATAAAAATCTTAGTAAACGTTAACTACAAATTAATTTCTTAAGGGTTTTATAGTATTTAGAATACTTAAGGTTATAAAGTGCCGGGCCGTAAAGTCGGGGGTATTAATGTACGAAGCTTTATATTTAATTTAAAAAATATCCTTTCTAAATCGTATAGTATAAGGCTAGTACTTATAAAGCTACTGTTAATGTGTGGGTACTACTAAGTGCCCTACTTACTGCCCTACAGATTAATATTACAGTGGGCAGTACTGCTATAAGCAGTAATGGAACTTCCCGGCTTGGATCCCTTTAGAATATTCTTTACAAGGGACCCTTAAAGGCTTACAGGGCTACTGTGGCCTGAGGCTTAGTCAATGGATACTAAAACCTTCCAAAGTGGCTACAGGCTTACGTAGTAAGTTGCCACAATAGTGTGATTTACAAGGCACCTCTGCTACCGAAGGTTCTATGGATTTCCGTAAGTCTACACTA